CCTCCCCTGGTTTAGCTAGCAAGGTAAAATAGGGTTACATTTAATTTACAGGGCTTAATGATCCAACTTGAGGAACGTCTAGCTCAGTGTTTCTCAACCTTGGCGACTTTAAGTCCCGTGGACTTCAACGCCCAGAATCCCCCAGCCAGCATAGCTGGCTGGGGGAATCTGGGCGTTGAAGTCCACGGGACTTAAAGTCGCCAAGGTTGAGAAACACTGAGCTAGCTTACAAAGCCTCTCCACCTGCACTGTTAGGGCCAGGATGCAATTTAGATCAGCTATGTTTCTCTGCAAAAGGGGCACTAAGTAGGGAAATGCGTCTGTGCTGAGAGGCTGGAGTTCAGGGTTTTGCATCTCATGAGGTAGCCAAATAAGCAGATGCATTTCCAACCTGAAATACGTGTCCTGTAGCTTTAAGCTTTGGCTTTTCAGTCTCTTCGGAGAGCGAAGCTGATGAAACTGTTTCATCGACATCACATTTGGCACGAGACTTTGCAAAATCTTCATAAAGCTGAACCTATCAAAAGAAACACATGTACGTGTTATTTACAGTTATAGCAATTGGGAGCCTGGTTGGTGTAGTGATTAAAGGACGGCTGGACCAAAGGGCGGGAGATCACGAGTTCCCCTTCTCCCTCAGGCAGAGGGAGTGCTGCCAAAAGGGTGCTTGGGGGCCTTTGGGCCAGTCACTCTCCCTCGTCCCAGCCCCCACTTCACAGGGGGTTTCTTGAGGGAAAGGAAGGGATAACAACATTACGGGCACCCCCTAAAGCTGTACACAGGGAAGGTCAAATTGATATTTTAACATTTGCAGCAATCTCTACTCTTTGAAATACTTGCATACTATGGGTTAATAATCTCTTTACACTTTGCTTTTAATTTATTTGCAGGGAATGTACAATTATTATTATTACTAACCCAAAAAAACACCACTTTAAAGAGACCTGCTCTATCAGACCATTTTTTTTTTTACAAGAAGCATTTTTGGTTTGCATAAAAAAAGATGAACTGTCACCGGATGAGTCTTTTAAAAAGCTAAACTGGCTGTATCCTCCCCACTAGGAAAATGTCAAATCCTAGTTTAGCAACCAAATGCTACATCAACATGTATAGTGACTCTAATAAGCTAAATTAAAACTGCTAAATGATTCTATTGTATCCTACAGGTTACTTACGCGTAGGATTGAGTGAAATCAAGTTTCAATCAAAACACTACTGTATTTCCAAGGGAAAAGCCAATGCAGGGAAGTCACCATTTCAATTTTCCAACAGCAAGAGAAGCTGCCTTTACAAAAAGGCATCACTTTCATTGCTGGTACCTATCTCTATTTCTCCATTTTCCCAATTAAACTCTTAAATGAGATATGGGGCTGCAAAAAGAAGGGACCAAAATCACGGCCTCCTCCCTTTATCGGAAAAATATACTGGATTCAATCTATCTTTGGAGGCAACTGCTTCAATAAATAGAGGCACAGTAGCCTAGCAGTTAAGATGCTGGGTTTGTATTCCATGTGCCTTGACACATAACCACAAAAGCGTCTTCAGATAACAGTGGCTCCTTGGCAAGGAAACGGAGATGAGCACCTGGGTACTTGAGAGACCGCCTGCTGCCAATTACCTCCCAAAGACCCATTAGATCACACAGGGTTGGCCTCCTCC